CAGCCCGTCCGCGCCGCGCTGCGGGAACGGGCCGGGCCGAGCCGCGGTGCGAGAGCTTTAGACGGCGTGCGCTGTTGTTTTTAAAGCGGCCTGGCTCGGCAGATCGTGTCGGAGAACTGCGAGCACATGCGTGTTGCTGTGGTTGCTCTTTGCCCTTCCGTTTCACTCGTCTCTTGGAAGGAAACGCTTTCCTGTGGCCTTTCCAGGCCTCGTGGCTTCCTGCCGGGCTGTAGGTCACTAGCCACTGAATCTCTGTGGGCACGCGTGAAAAGGGGAGAAAACGCTCATCAGGTGCATTTGAAAGACATTCTTAATTCTCCTTTCTAAAAAAACCGCGCACCTCTAACTTGACAAGTGTTGTGACTCATAATGATGGCTTGCGGTCATTAAAGCGCCTCAGATGCAATACTTGATGCAGCTAAATAAAGCTGGATTCTCATCAAAGAAAAAAGGGCTGATGGTTAAGATCCGTCAAATCTTCAGATTTGTAATCTGCCTTTAAAACTCCACAGCTGCTGGTAAAGGGAGGGCAAACTGGCTCTTCCCTGTTCACTGGCATACCGACAAATTCCCCAGATCAAATCTGCTGCTATTTGTGTTTATCAGAACAGCAGCATCTGACCTAATCTCTCTGTGCTGGTGTCATTGGGAGGCTATGACAGAAGCTGAGAGCATGAAGTTGAAACCTTCTCCTTCAATTCAAAAAAGGAAGATAAATTCCAGCACCACTTTTAACCTGATTAATTTGTCATTTAATTTATGATAGAGCACATTGATGGAGATGAGGAGTTGGAAGCATTACTTGTGGGAGATGCAAATACCAAAAGCACACTGCAGTTCCTATTCACTCTTCTAGCTTCATGACTCACTAATTACTCAATTACTCTCGGTTCATCACCTCTGTGAGTGCAGCAAGAAAAGCATCTCCAATAAGACTCCTGAGTGAGTACCTGTCTGTTCTTTCCAGTTTCTCTGAAAGGGTATCATTCTATGTTCTGGTTTTTGCTGGGGCATCATGGCTAAAGACTTGAAAAGGCTTGAAAGAAAACCATGCTCTAAGCTGACAAGCAAGGCCAGTTAACTGCTTTGACTTTTGGCAAGTAGAGATGTCAAGCAGGTATAAGGAAAAATACAGTGAATAGCCTTGAACCATTTCAGAAACCTATCCAGACAAAGAATTAGTATTACCACTTTAACAAGGCTCTGAAAAGTCTCTACTACTATCTCTGAACAAGGGCTTTTCACACAGTTTGCTACTGCGTTTACAGTGGTTGTCTAGGAGCAAGCAAATGCTAGTGACTTGAAATTCAGTTCCAGCATGTTTCTTTCCACCTAGCTTTCCTGTATCCTGTTTATGCCATAAATTCCTCACTACCACCAGCACCACCCCCTCAGTATTGCTACACTTTCCTTTTCTATGTTACACTATCTTTAGGCTACCACATTACATAGTCTGTGACAGATAGAAAAGGTTAGCTGCCTACTTGTTTACTCAGTTGAAATCTACAGAGACCTGACAGAACCAGAGAGCGGACATACATCACTAGTTAAGCCTTCAGGGATCAATTTCCTCTCTTGGTAAGGGGCTGGCATTTGCTGTTCTGCTTAAAATGTTTCCTACAGGTACAGCCAAGTCAAGTAATTCACTGTATCTTTTTCAAATGATAGATACACTGATATGCATTATAGCACAAATATTAAGTAGCATAGTTCATGCAGAAAGACACATTGAGACTGCAGTTTTGATGACAAACTAAGTCTCTCTTTACCAGGCCAAAAGTCACAGGCATAACCCATGTTGCTGAACTAACTGATAAAAATTAACTCCCCATGTTCAAGTCAGCTAATAAGTACTGGAGAATAAACTCAGTAACAGGAGGCTTTAAGTCAGATCTGGTGTCATCTGTCCTCTCATATCTGATGTAAAACTGTCAAGCCAGTACGAATGCCATGTCATGAGCTCTTAGATTTAATGCAATCAAGTGCCTTTGCTGGATTAAGGTCCAGTCTGTGCTGCATAGATTGGATCTGAATGATTGTGAAACTGTGACTTTAAAGCAGGTGTTAAGATTTTTGTCATATGGAATTATTTACACTGTGCCTCTGCCACTGAAACTGGACTGCCAGAAATGTTTCCATTCCCTTATAGAGGAGCTATAATCATCTGTCAGTGTAGCTGCACTACTGCCACATCAGCTGAAGTGAGACTGAACAAAAACCAAAGCCAATCATCTCAAGTCAGTCTAAACAGATGTCAGATTTTAGATTTTTGAAGCTCAAAAGACATCAGTCACGGAAGTTTTTATATTAGAACAGTCCAGATTATTTAAACATATATTATAAATAGCTTTTTAAACTTAAGATGTTTTTTCAGTTTAGTCTGTCCTGCCGGTATGTCCCTCCCTGCTCCCCAACACCTATTTAATCCAAGTAGAAAGGTGAGTTTAAGAATTATTCTTGACTAATATATTGACTAAAAGATATGATCAGTGTTGCAATAACTGAATTGTAACCAAGGTGTTTTCCTTTTACTTTAGCTGAATTGATGCAGAAGTCTCCTCCATCTCTCATCTCTCTGGCTGGAGGGGCACCAAATCCTAATGTTTTTCCATTTAAAAGGGCAACTGTTACCATTGAACATGGGACTCCTGTTGAGATTGGGGAAGATCTGATGAAGAGAGCTCTCCAGTACTCAGCGTCAGCAGGGTATCTATCACAGATGCTTGCATTTCAAGATACCAGAGTCAAAGGATCATAATATCCTTTATTATTGCATTAATTTACCTGTGTTTTTAAAAGCTGTGCATAAAAACCTTTTTGCTTTTCCAAAAACAGGTTTCACTTCTTTCAGTTTGCCTCATTGTTTACATTTCAGCTCAAGTGAAAAGTTTTGCAATAAGTAATGTAAAAAACCAAAACACCTAAAACCCCAATACCAGTAGTGCTCAAGGCAGAGCATTTCCTGGCACATTTCTATGAGAATCCAGACTCCCAAATCACTAGGAGGAATCATTTTGTGTTTTGCAATAAGATATTCATTAAAAGATACTGCATTGCAATACATAGTTTCCACATTCTGAGGTATTTGACACCATATCCTAGAGTCAGTATGTACAGCTCATGGTAGCTGGATGGAGGTATTTATTTTTTAGTACAAAAATTGCACATCGTTACATTACTTTAGAGATCATATGAACTCCCCAGCAGACAGCAATGAGTCAGGCTTGGGACAGGTTTGCAAAAATACTCGGGTACCTACAGAAGCACACAGGGCATCAGTCAGTGAAGACTTTTCTTAATATTTCGGAAATCCTCATCATCTCTAGTCTATTACTAGCAGTATTGAGAGCTTTGACAAGTTGCTACTTTTCAGTACAGAATGATCACTTCTAGGAGTGGATATTGTTTTATACTTGGCAAATAATTTCTGCCCAGATTTCAGTGTGATAATTTGGTGTATGGACCACAGATGCCCATCTCATTTTCATAGTTTGGTAAAGCAGTCAAAACTCGTATCCCACTGTATCTGTGTGACAGTTGCAATCAGACTCAGGACTGCATGCTAGATTTGGCAATGATTTAGAAGAACAGCCTGATTTGGCCTGTATAAGATGATAGATACACTTTCTTATTCATGTTTCAGGATTCCAGAGCTGTTGTCTTGGCTAAAAGATTTCCAGCGGAACCTGCATAACCCCCCCACAGCCAATTACAGTCCCGAGCAAGGACAAATGGAAGTGTGTGTCACAACTGGCAGCCAGGAAGGCTTGTGTAAAGTAAGACCAAAACCTTCATGTGTTAAAAGCATTTCATTCAGAGAGATGTTTATTCTTCCATCAATTCAGTTATATTCAGCATTAAGTGCCACTCTGTAACTATATGCAGGGTACTTTGTTAAATATATGTCTAACAATATTACCAATATGAGGTAATGGAACTGAAATAAAATTGGTGTGGCATTCTAATCTGTCAGGACTGCATGAATGTTTGGGTAACCAAAGAGCCTGTCAGAAAATATGCCATAAGGTAACATTTCATGTTAGTCAACTAGTGCAGTATTAAGTACATAGATGCATTATTTGCTTTACCATAACTATTCTAAATATGTTTGGGTTTTTTACTTCCTGGTTTTTGATGGGGTTTTTTTACTTCCTGAAACAATTACCCTTTCCAGTCCACTCTCATTTCTGTTTAGTTGATCCTTTCTGTAATTTATACAATAGAAACAGTGCTTGAGAGCACTGTCTTTCCATGTAAAATTGGTATTCTCAAGTAGATTACCTAGCTTAATTTGGCTCTAAGGCAGGTTTTTCATCTGTTCATTGCTTTTCTCACAGACAGGAGGATAATTAAATGGTTTGAGAGTTAGTAATATCTAATCAAGATTTTTAATCTCACTAAGAAGTGAGAAGTATGAAGC